CCCGCATTTCTCTGCCAAGTACGAATTTTGTTGCTAATCGTAGGCTAGACTAGACGGACGCACACAACTGTACGGCAAACGGCGACGGCGACAGCGACGAACTCCGTACGCGATTGCGGGCTCGAATCGAGTGGCAAAAGAACCGATTGCAGCTTCGAGAGAGGGTTTCCAGGCGGGATTCACGCACCTGTGAAGCGAGGCCGGCCGTCGCGAGCAGTGCTCCGCCGCCCCTCATCGCCCGCGCGCTCGCGCCGCCGGCCGCGGGCAGCGACCCGCGCGCCGGATCGACGCGCCGCGCCGTCGGACCCGCGCAGATGGCCGGGCGAGGGAGGGGCGGGGCGGCGGTGGCGCTGGGTCGTCGCGGGCGCGGCCGCCGCTGGGGGAGCCCGCTCCTGAGTCTTGACATTGGTGGGATTTCCGTTCCAAAAATATATTGTCGGTTCTCGACACCAAGGTCAAGGTCTTTTTGGTAATAAAAAATTCGGAGGCTTTAGGGGGGGATTATGGTTGACCAGGAAACAGGGCGACTTGGCATATTGTGGTTGGAAATGTGGGCCTCCCCTCAATCTAGGGGATGTTTAGGACCGAAAATGCCAATATTTGTGGACACACTTACACATGTATACCAAGTATGTGCAAAATTTCACGACATTATACTTTCACACATGGCGTACAGAGAAAGAGAAATACGCATTTTTAAATGGGCCTTTTATTTCTGTTGTTGGGCCGATTTTTTTTTTGTACAGCTTGCAAATCACAATATTTTTAAACGAAATTTAACACGTTCTTGTGGAATACATATATGTTTCCTTGAAAAAATTAAATTTTTTTGAAACTTTTGAATATGATTTTTGATGCTTTCAAAATACCGAGCTCCCTGGAGCTCGGCCTCCAAAACTTCGCACTCATGCTTAGGAGTACTACCATGATCGTAGTTTATTAGAGCATTCACTACCTAATCCGGCCTTGTTCACGGACATGGATGGTCACCCCTCAAATGCACCCGTGTGCCTTAAGTCATGTCCCTCAAATTCATGTTATCCGAGCACCCTGTATGAAACTACATTGATCTCATCATACAAACACATAGCAACAACAACAAAAGATGCATGGTGCATAC